GAGGGGCACTGGCCTGATGCCAACTGGAGGCTCTCCTGTATGAGGTGTCTGTTGACCTCTGTTGGGAGATCTCTCCCAATCAGGAGTCACGGGAGTCAGAGACCCACTTGAGGAGGCAGTCTGTCCCTTAGCAGAGCTCAAGTGCTGTGCTGGGGGAGAATCCTCCATGTCAGGATCAGCTCTCTTTTCAGAGCAGGCAGGCAGGAAAGTTTAAGTCTGCTGAAGCTGCACCCACAGCTGCCTTTTCCCCCAGGTGCCCTGTCCCAGGGAGATGGGAATTTTATCTGTAAGCCCCTGACTGGGGCTGCTGCCTTTCTTTCAGAGATGTTCTGCCCAGTGAGGAGGAATCTAGAGAAGCAGTCTGACCACAGCCGCTTTGCTGTGCTGTGGTGAATTCTGACCAGTCTGAACCTCCCGTCCTCCTTAGCGCTGTCAGGGGAAAACCACCTATCAAAGCCTCAGTAATGGCAGATGCCCCTCCCCCAACCAAGCTCGATTGTCCCAGGTTCACTTCAGAGTGCTGTGTGGGCAGTGAGAATTTCAAGCCAGTGGCTCTTTGCCTGCTGGGCTCTGTAGGAGTGGGACCCACTGAGCCAAACTGCTTGGCTCCCTGGCTTCCAGGAGAGTGAAAGGTTCTGTCTTGCTGGAGTTCCAGGTGCCACTCGGGTACAAAAAGTAACTCCTGCAGCTAGCTCGGTGTCTGCCCGAACAGCCACCCAGTTTTGTGCTTGAAACCCAGGGCCCTGATCTACGATTGCAAAAACCATGGGGAAAACGTAGTAGCCAGGCTGGGTCGCGCAGTCCCTCATGGCTTCCCTTGGCTAGGGGAGGGAGATCTCTTGGCTCCTTGTACTTTCCAGGTGAGGTGATGCTCCACCTTGCTTCTGCTCACCCTCCGTGGGCTGTACCCACTGCCTAACCAGTCCCAATGAGATGAACTTGGTACCTCAGTTGGAAATGCAGAAATCACCTGCTTTCTCTGTTGGTCTCACTGGGAACCAGAGACCGGAGCTGTTCCTATTCAGCCACCTTGCCAGATTGGCCAATATTACAAATTATTAATCCTCTTAGGTGTCATCTTTATCTCAGGAGATACAGGCTTAAGTGTTTAGGCTAAAATGTCATGTTGTCTGCAACATTTTAATGATTAAGGAAATAAATACATTATATACACATACAAAAAAGTAAAACCAATGTAGCTCACTATCAACAATTGTTGAATTCAGGCAGCTATACAGGCTGCATTGTGCAATTCTTTCAACTTTTCGATATATCTGAAATTTTTTTAAGTAAAAAAGTTGGGAAGAAAAAAGATTTTCTTTTAAAAACTAGTATATTAATGTAAATGAATTCAAGTAGAATGATATAATATCAGTTATTAGAAAACCAATTACCACTCAGCTATTGAATCCACCATACTGAGTTAAGAAGAACTTGGTATCTTTTGAATAAGAAAACATAGGCTTTATTGATGCTTGACTACTAGACAAGTTGTACTTGATTAAACTCCTAGTAAATTCAACCAGCTAGTGACTATAATTAGATGACTGGTCGCTTCAATCAATTAATCTGCCTAATGATCTACCTCTGAAAATTGGCCTAATTAATTGAATTGTTCTTATTTTCATGATCACTTTCATTTTCATCATCATAAAGAGTGATCTCTTAAGTACCTAGAATGGATGCTGAGGACAACACATTCTTAACTCAAGGAGTCTGTGATATCATTGGGGGAACTAGGAGATATGAACGAAACATAAATAATCAGGCCGGGTGTGGTGGGGCTTGTGTCTGTAATCCCAGCACTTTGGGAGGCCTAGGTGGGTGGATAACCTGGGGTCAGGAGTTCGAGAACAGCTTAGCCAACATGGTGAAACCCCATCTCTACTAAAAATACAAAACTCAGCTAAGTGTGGTGGTGTGCACCTGTAGTCCCAGTTACTCAGGAGGCTGAGGCATGAGAATTGCTTGAACCCGGGAGGTGGAGGCTGCAATGAGCTGAGATTACACCACTACACTCCAGCCTGGGGACAGAGCGAGACTCCGTCCCCAAACAAACAAACAAACAACCATAAATAACCATGCAAGAAAGCAAACTATATATGCTAAATTCATAATATCATAATCTCTTGGGATCTTACCATATAAAACCTGGATGTGTCTTTATTGATCATACAGCCTCATCCCTCACTTTAAAGATAAATGGTATATTTTTATGTAGTCAAATTTTCAACGTTTTCTTTAAGACTCTGGGGTTGTTGCTGTTGGTTCCTTGCTTGTTTGCTGTTATCGTCATACTTAGCACTACTTTTCTACTTCAAGATTAGAGAAAATATTGACCTATAGTTTCTTTCAATACTTTTAAGTTCAATGTCTTACATTTAAATTTTTGAACTACACGAAATTTATTTTGATACAAGAAATGAGGTTTGGCCAGCGCGGTGGCTCATGCCTGTAATTCCAGCACTTTGGGAGGCTGAGATGGGTGGATCACGAGGTCAGGAGTTCAAAACCAGCCTGGCCAATGTAGTGAAATCCCGTCTCTACTGAAAACACAAAAAAATTAGCTGGGCTTGGTGGCAGGTGCCTGTAATCCCAGCTACTCAGGAGGCTGAGGCAGGAGAATCGCTTGAACCTGGCAGGCGGAAGTTGCAGTGAGCAGAGACTGCGCCACTGCACTCCAGCCTGGGTGACAGAGTGAGACTGTGTCTCAGTAAATAAATAAATAAATAAATAAATAAATAAACAGACAAATGAGGTTGGACAATAGCTTGATTTTTTTAAAACTCCAAGCCAGTTGCCCAATAATCCGTTTTGCCATTGATGTGACTTTATAAACACCCATATGTGCTTTTACTTATTTCTGCTCTCTTCTCTGTTTCATTGATGCACTGGTATTATGCCATTGGAGGCAATACAGCATTATAATGCATTTACAGATATGGAAGAGAAATCCTCCCCTTTTATTTTCATTCAGAAATTATCTGGCTATCCTCACATGTGGTCTTACCCCAGTCAGACCCAACACCTCACTTTTATAACAAATATTTGGTAATGTGCCCTTTGTTATATGAAAGGAGATGATATTTGTTGATAATGTAACCCCAATCTTTGTGATTAACAAAAAGGCCCAGCTGATTTCCAAAATGCACCCCAGTTTAGAATCAGTCTGGCAAGTATCGCATGAAATCCTATTGGTATTTGATTGGGATCACACATCATTTGCAAATCAATTTAAGCAACATTTCTATTTTTACAATGTTGTGGCCTGTAGCCCCAACAACAATTATTTGTCTTCATTTATTTATGTCTTTGTGTCTGGGCAGGGTCCTGCCAGGAAACAGACGGTGTGTTAAAGTGAGAAATTGATGAGTTCAGCAAAGTGACTATTTATATATTTGGACAGGATTTAAGGAAGTAAGAACGGATGATGCAGCACTTCAGAGGGGAGTCTTTCCGACCTCAAGCTGAAGGAGAAGGAACAATTACTGGAATTCAGGGAGGAGAGCATCACCGAACAAGAGCTTCATTAGAGGATTGCAGCCAACACAGGGCCAGGCGGAGGGAGCCAGAGGGAGGCAGCTCTGCTCTCCCTCCTCCTGCCCTTCAGTTTCCAACCACCGCCTCCCATTGGCCAAACCCAACCAGAAGTCAGTGAGCAAGGGTCTACTGATGAAGCACATATAGCTCAGCCTCCAGGGACACAGAATAGGATAAAAGGCTGGGACAGTGGGTCTGGTGGGGCAAAGAGAAAGCTTGCATCTGCCAGGTGAAGCATTATAGTCCCCATCCTCCCCCCACCACCTTAGTTCTTGTGCATTTCCCATCAGTTTTCTTCCAAAGCATTTCAGATTTCACTGATTTGAATGGAATCTCTTCTTCTATTACCAATTTGGATCAGTAATTATTTATGTATGAGAAAACTATTGATTTTTACAGATCATTTGCATAGCAGAGTGGTTTAATAAGGAGACATTTGGTTTTTACTGCCTGCGTGGGTATAACTTGCTATGTGACTTGAGGCAAATCCAATATTTCTTCTGTTATGAATTCCAGTATTTGTAAAAAATGGGTAATAAGATCTCTATTTTATATAGTTTTAGTATTTAATGAGATAATACATATAAAGTCATAACAGTGTCTGGCTCATAACAAACCCTCAATAAATGTCATTTATTACTGTATCTGGTTTTTGAGCTGCTCTATCGCACCATTGACTTTTCAGCCCAGTATATGTTAACCCTGATCATTATCCTCAGATGTCCCCATGCCACACTCTACATCATCCAAATTCTCTCCATGTGGACTATGTAGATTAAAGAACTTTAAACATAACTACCGTATTTTGGCTCTACCTACAAAATGTCCAATAATCAGTTGAGAAGGGAACAATTCTCTTGGGGCCCACACTGTGAGAAGCGAATGCAGCTGAACTTTTTTAAAGGAAAATGAATGAACCAACTGGTAGCTTTGCCAGTGCTTAAAAACCAGCATCCTCTCCAGCTGGGTCTAAGACAGGATAAGGTAAATTTAGATATGTCTGCAATATATCTATAGAACAGTGGTTCTCAATCTGAGGTGTTTTTGCCCCTTAGGGGATAGTTTGCAATGTCTAGAGACATCTGTGATTCTCACAACTGGAAGGGGGCAGTGCTATTGGCATCTAGTGGGTATAGAGCAAGGATGCTACCAAACATCCTACGGTGCAACAGAGAATTATCTGGTCAAAAATGTAAATAGTGCTGAGGGCGAGAAACCCTGCTATAAAAATGAAAGAAGTTTGGTCTATAGGGTTGTTTGGATTTAGACAAGACATTGCCCCAGTAGTGGTGGTAGAAATAAGAGGAACCCGGTGCTTTTGCAAAGCCCATATCTGGGGTGGCTTAAATAATCTCTCCTCTCCCCGCCCCCCGACCTGATCTTTGTAGTTGGAAACTCCAGGGCTGGCTGCCTGGAGTCTTTGTGACTCTACACTTCCTGCCACCCATCACTTCATCTCAGAAGACTCGAGATTAGGATCACTCCATACCATCAAGAAAGGTATTTTAAACATTGGAACACATATAGATAATTTAAGTAGGTAGATGTATGTGCTGTTATAAGGAAGTGGGGAGGAGAGGAGAGGGAACTGAAATCATATGCACAAAATTTTTTTTAGAATATAAATAAAAAATGTGGTAGTCTAAAATGTCAATTCTTCAAAGATAAAGTTAGACTTTCAGTAACGTTAGAAATGGTTTTCTGGAATATGTCTCCAGTCTACCTAACTTCGAGGAAGTAAATACTGTAAATAGATGTTTCAAGTGCATTTTAAAGCAATGATCGCAGCATGTCTTTAAGCTACAGTATTTTGCTGTCTTTGAAATGTAAAGTTTGATATCTTCTCTTTCTCTTAGTTGATGCTATTGGGTCCATCTCAAGCTGATCTTGGCACCTCTCATGCTCTGCTCTCTTCAACCAGACCTCTACATTCCATTCTGGAAGAAGACTAAAAATGGTAAGAACAGCTCAGAGAACCTTAAAAAGTGTTATCTGTAATCTTTGTGGAAACAACTGAAACCAGCTGGCAAGAGCAATGTTGAAGAATCTGTACTTAGGTTATTTGCTGGGGGAAAGTGCTTCCTGATATTTCATAATTGGCATTAATGAAGGGGGCATTTCACAATTTCAGATTAATCAATGCTTGCTCTGTCCAACTTCCTACAAGAATTAAATATGTGCTGTGGGGAGGAGCAGCAGATGTTTGAATTGGGGGCATGGTTTCTATGGATCTCATTTCTTCAGCTTACATTTTTGGCTTTAAAGCCATAACAAATCACTGAATTACTGAAGTTACTTTGTGCTTTTTCCAGCATATGGTGTTGTCTGAATGACTGTGTGGATGAAAGTGTGTAGGCAGGCTCATAGCAATAAAATACGGGAAATCCCCGGGCTTGAGTGCTGTCAAAGAAAACTAAATTTGGACAGTAGATAAAGATACTCTCAGGACTATTGCAATCGGTGGAAAGAGACCTCAGTATAGAAAGGGGCTCAATTCTGAATACAGCCAAAGACCAGTAAAGATTTCTGGCCAAGGAGTAGAGTGTGGGTCAGTGGATGGAAAATTACTAAGAGAAAACATCAAGGGTAAAAGGGATTCTGGCTAAACCGACCTGACAGGATTCTTGCTGAAGACAGGCCAGGGTGATCAGACCTCACCTGGGGATGGTGGGGGATGAGGAATTTGATCAGATATTGAGGGTGATCACATACCAAGAGGAGTGGATTATCAATAAAATGACTTAGCAGGATTTCTGCTTAAACTGGGCAATGCAAAGATGGACATGAAGCCCAAAGGCTGAAGCTTAGGGGTGTAGTGGAGCCTGATTAAGTTGAATTAAGGAGAGTCTGTCAGCGCTGGCTCTTCCAGTCACTAGTTGAGGGGTCTTGTGCCTGTCATCAAAGTCCTCTGAAACTCAATTTCTCTGACTACAAAATAGGCATTAGAATCCCTCCCCAGTTGCCTTCCAGGGCCACTGTGAGGCTCAAATAATAGACTATTTTTCAAGTCATTTGCAAGTGGTATGATGCAAGTGTGAGTTATTAGGTATGCCAAAACTTACTCGGAAAAAGATGTCAATGGCCTTTTTCTGAAATTATTTTGTCACTTAAATCAGACACATTGTAGATCTGAATGTTGGCTCCTAGGCTCATTTTGTGTCAAAGTTCTAATGAAGCATTAACCATGGGGCTACTGTTACAAAGGAAACAACTGCTTATGGTTTCATTTCCTAGAAACCCAGATGTCTATTTTAATGTAAACCTATGCCCACATCTGTCTTTGCCCCTTGAGGGGTGGCATAATGGGAATGATAGTAATACAGAGAGCCCACATTTCTTGATCACTCAAGTATCATGCTGAGGGCTAGATACACATGATTCTATTTTGGTCTCAAAGTAGCCCTATGAGGTAGAAATAAAGAAACTGGGGCTTTGAGAGGTTAAGGAGCTTGGGTGGCTCTGAAAGCTGTGCTGAAGACTCTTCTGTTCTTCCTAGACCAAGCCCAGCACACACACAATAAAGGTGAGGCTGGATATGATGGCTTCCTACTCAAGTACAAAGGGGAAATAGTATATCTCTTCTAAGAAAAGACATGAAAATAATTTTCAATATAAGAAATTCAAAAGGCAAAAAAGCACAGGAAAAATATTCAACTGTATTGAGTCATATGTCAGATCCTTTGATCTAAAGAGTACACTTTTAGGAACTCTTCTTAAAGAAGCGACCATGAGACTGGATAAAGAAAATGTGGTACACATATACCATGGAATACTATGCAGCCATAAAAAGGAATGAGATCCTGTCCTTTGCAGGGACATTGATGAAGCTGGAAACCATTATCCTCAGCAAACTAACACAGAAACAGAAAACCAAACATTGCATGTTCTCACTTATAAGTGGTAGCCAAACAATGAGAATACATGGACACAGGGAGGGGAGTAACACTCACTGAGGCCTGTTGGGGGAGGGTGGGGCAGGAGAGAGCATTAGGGAAAAAAGCTAATGCATGCTGGGCTTAATACCTAGGTGATGGGTTGATCTGTGCAGCAAACCACCATGACACACGTTTACCTATGTAACAAACCAGCACATCCTGCACATGTACCCCAGAACTTAAAACAAACAAACAATAAAATAATTAAAAAAAAAAAAAAGAAGTGATCATGTACATGGGAAACTATTTACGAAGATAGTCTGTGCAACCAGGCAAAAAAAAAAAAAAAAAAATCTCATGTCCCATGTTGGGAAGGGGTGAATTAATTGTAGTACACTCATTAAATGGAATATTATGTAATCATCAAATCATGTTTTTAAAAATAATACTGAATGACCTAAGAAAGCACTCATGGTATAATGTTAAATGAAAAAAGCAAACTACAAATTGATAAGTGCCATGTATTCCTGATGTTTTTACTTACCTGCTAGACAAATACTAGATGCTTACTAAATGTTGGATAATCTGTGATGATGGTTTACATAAACACATGTGTTGCATATTCTAATTTCACTCAACATCCCTACTTTATAACCATTTTACAGTTAGCAAATCAGAGGTTCATGAGGCCAAGTGATTTATGAAAGTCAGAGAGCTCTTACATGACAGAACAAGGATTTAAAACCAAATTTTTGTATTGACAAAGCCTTGGATATTACTACAATGCTTCTCACCATATGAAATAGATGCAGGGATGGGAAATTACTATCAGAAGGGAACATCTCCCAAAATGTCAATAGTAGTTCAGCAAATTTAAAAGTAAAAACATTATTCTGCTCTTAACCTATAGGAAATTTCTTTATGGCTAAAAAAACAGTTATTAAGTAATCTATTTATTAAATTAATACAATCTGATTATTTAAAAATTTGGAATGCTGTACTAAAATTAAAAATCATAATTACAGATTAACCAGCCAGTACCTTTGCACTCCAAGAATAAATAATGTATATCCCCGAAACTCACCAAAGTTTAGGGCTGGGGTTGGCAAACTATAGCCCATGGGCTATATCCTACCTGCTGTACAGCTCATGAGCTAAGATTGTTTTTTTTTTTTAATTGTTTTTAAAAGACTGAAAAATATCAAAGCAAAGTTACTATTTTGTGACATGTAAAAGTTATATTCAATTCAAGTTTCAGTGTTTACAAATAGCTTTATTGTTTGAATATTTGTTTACGTATTGTTGATAAGTGCTTTTGCACTACGATGGGAAACTATTCAAGGAGTTGAGTAGTGTGACAGAGACCCCGATGGCCTGCAAAGCTTAAACCATTTGCTAACTGGCCCTTTACAGAAAAAGTATGTCAGTCTGTGGCTTACAGAAAACAAGAGGATAAGGTATAAGGTCAAATAAGTTGGAGGGTCCTATGGTCTTTGGTGACTGTTGTGATGCATAATAGCTGTTGAGTTCCTAATTTATGTAAGACAACTTTATATCCTTTTATTCTTTTAATTTGAAAACTAAGTCTGTTGGGCTAAAATGATAGGAAGCAAATGATAATTCTCTCCTTTTTTTAAAAAAAGCAAGTGGTTTACATCTTAGTACTTAAATGTTTTGGTGACATAATGAAACTGATATTCATGGCATTTGTACTTTACAGAGATTAAACTAAAATTAACAATATTTCAAAATTCACAAATAGGGGATATTTGTTAATAAATCTATTTGGGAAATTCCTAGCAGAGGCTCTGTCTATAAAATGAATAGCGTTTCAGCAGCTTCTCTTATTCACAGTGCTTGGTTATTCTCTAGGGAGACATACACAACACATCTCTAGTTACCAAACAGTTCAGTGTGATATAAACATGGCAAAAAGTCAATGAATTTGAGGGCAAGGGTTTCCAGCAATCGCCCCCCCACTGCTTACTTCTTCCATGCCCTTTCTCAGTTTTCTTCAGCCAGGCAGCCATCCCCTCTGGTTTCTCCCAGACCCCGGCTGCAGGCTCCCAGCCATCACAGAAAGCCCCTCGCTCACACATTTTGGCTCAAGCAACTCTTTCTCTTAGAAATGCAGATCCCAACATTTCCTTTTAAACTCAGGCAACTTGGCTTTTTCCTGCCCTGTGATCTTGAAAGTTGCTTGGAGGAACAGCTGAGTGTATGGGGCTGTGGTCCTCTCAGGGCTGGCATGTTGTAGCCCAGGGGGTGCCCAGGGACCTTTCTGACTGGTTGGTTAGTTGGGTAAAAGAGTGAAGTCAGGAGAGCAGCAAATCCTTCTTAACTTACTATAAAAATGCAAGTGTTCCCCAGGCCTCAAATAGTCTCATATGAAGATAAATTTCCTTTTGCCAAGAATTCTGCTGAAAATAATCCATGGTAGCCAGATAACAGCTATGCAAAGAATATATAATAGACTGTTAGGGGCATGTATGCCGATTCATACAGAAAGCTGAGGGTTTCTTTTGCTGGGGTGTGGTGGGTGGGGGAATTCCTTATTGCAATCATACTCTACTTCTCCATCCAGAAAACTCTCCAACCCTCTTGGGGGACTCTCTATTTTCTACTCTTTCTCCCCCTTATGTACCTACCTAGACCATCTGCTCCCATATGTCCTGCCTGACTCCTGCTCCAGTTACCTATCACTGCATAAGAGATCACCTCAAAATGCAATGGTTTCAAACAACAACAATCATATACTGCTTTCTGTCATGGGTCCAGGAGTTGACTGGACTCACTAGGCAGCTCTCCCACAGGGTCTCTCTTGAGGTGGCAGTCAGGCGGTGACTGCGACTGGAGTCACCTGAAGACTCACTCTCCAGATCTGATGCCTGGGCTGGGAGACGCAACAGCTAGGTGCCGGAGCAGCTGCAGCTCCTCAGGTGTCTCTGTCTCCATGTGGTCTCCCTGATATGGTGGTTGTTGTATAGCCAGGCGTCTTACAAGGGTGATGACTCAGGACTCCAAAGCAAGTGGGGGAGAGGAAGGGAGAGAGGGAGAAACAGAGAGAGAGAGAGAGAGTGTG